AGCATGCCTTGTGTGCAACTCTACAGAGAAAGATAGAGCATGCCTTGTTTGCAACTCTACAGAGAAAGATAGAGCATGCCTTGTGTGCAACTCTACAGAGAAAGATAGAGCAGAGCCTGAGAGCATGCCTTGTGTGCAGCTCGACAGAGAAAGATAGAGCATGCCTTGTGTGCAACTCTACAGAGAAAGATAGAGCATGCCTTGTGTGCAACTCTACATGCCTTGAAAGATAGAGCATGCCTTGTGTGCAACTCTACAGAGAAAGAGATAGAGCATGCCCTTGTGTGCAGCTCTTCAGAGAAGAGAGAGAGCTTGCCTTTGTGCAGCTCTTCAGAGAAAGAGAGAATATGCTTTGTGTGCAGCTGTACAGAGAGAGAGAGAGCATGACTTGTGTGCGGCTCTGTCAGAGAGAGAGAGAGAGAGAATATTGTGTGCAGCAGCTTGTAGAGAAGGCGAATATGCATGCCTTGTGTGCAGCTCTTCGGAGAAAGAGAGAGCATGCCTTGTGTGCAGCGGTGTAGAAGGCGGACATGCATGTGTGCAACTTTTCAGAGAAAGAGCTAGAGAAGAGAGCATGCCTTGTGTGCAGCTCTTCAGAGAAGGAGAGAACATGCAGCTCTTTCAGAGAGAGAGAACATGCCTTGTGTGCAGCTCTTCCCTTAGAGAGAAGCTGTAGAGAGAGAGCTTGCCTTGTGTGCAGCTCTTCAGAGAAAGAGAGAATATGCCTTGTGTGCAGCTGTTCAGAAGAGAGAGAGCAACATGCATGCCTTGTGTGCGGTGTAGAGAGAGAGAGCATGCCTTGTGTGCCTTGTGTGCAGCGGTGTAGAAGGCTAAGAGTACGCATGCCTTGTGCAGCGGTGTAGAAGGCTAGTACGCATGCCTTGAGAGAAAGAGTAGAGGCATACGCCCTTGTGTGCGAGCATGCGCATGCCTTGTGTGCAGCGGTGTAGAAGGCGAGCGTGCATGCCTTGTGTGCAGCTCTTCGGAGAAAGAGAGAGGATGCTTTGTGTGCAGCGGTTAGAACGCCAACGCATGAGTTGTGTGGAGCTCTTCAGAGTCAACGCATGCATACTTTTGTGGAGCTCTACAGATAAAGATTATACATTCCTTGTGCAGAACTGTCACGGTACAGGCCTCGTGTGGAGCCCAACCGAGGTGAAGTATTCTGCATGCCGTTTGTGGAACCGTAACAGAGGCGAAGAGTCTGCATGTCTTGCGTTGAGGTCTACAGAGGCGAAGAGTCTGCATGTCTTGCGTTGAGCCCTACAGAGGTGAAGAGTCTAGATATGTCCTCTGTGGACAAAACAGAGCTTGAGAATCTGCATGTTTTTTGTGGGGAAGAGTCGGCATGCCCTCTGTGGAGCCCAACAGAGATAAAGAGTCCGCATGCCCTCTTGTGGAGCCCAACAGACGTGAAGAGTCTGAATGACTTTTGTGAAGGTGAAGAATCTACATGAACTGTGTGGGCTCCAACAAAGGTGAAAAGTCTGCATGAGCTGAGTTGTATGGAGGTGAGGTGAAATTGGGTTTTACGTCGTGCTTGAGAATATTTCGCTCATATGACGACGTGCATGCGTGTGTATGTGTATGTGCGGCTGCTTGTACTAGACCAAGCTGGTTTTATAGTGCTAGCCCACTGAGATACCATGCCGCAGTGAAGCATGGATACCCCACTCAGACACATTATACTGACTCCGAGCCTACCAGTCCTTGTTGTACCCATTAATGCCGAGCGCCAGGCAGGGACCAACATGTACCATATTTTAACGTCTTTTGGTATGACGCGGTCGGGGATCGAACCCGCGACCTTCCGCTGTCCGGGCGGACGCTCTAACCACTACACCATGGAAGCGGTCGTGTATGAGCTGAATTGTATGGAAGTAATATATACAAATGTGAGCAAGCCTCTGGAAATCTCTACAAAGAAAGTGTTTGCCTCAGCGATTTTCCATATAGCGAACAGGGCGTTTGCATGACCCCAAAAAGACGAAACAAGTCAGCCCGACGTCTCTGCATAATGTCCTACCCGTGAGCACACGGGCGGGTGAGCGGGTCCACCAACCTTCGTGTAGGGCCAGGATGTCGTGGCAGTCTAGTAAATACTGCATCTCACCAATCATTACCTCTTTGATAGCTTCCTACATCCCCGTTGGTCCGGAAGCTGCTGATTGGAGCGTTGACAGCCATGTTTAGGTTTTACATTGAGATACATGCATAATTCACTGCACAGTTCCTTGTCCCGAAACCGAGTTCTCTCCAAGAGTGTCTGTAAAGCACTTGGGTAATGTGACTCTGTGTGTCCTCCCCATAGTGTGATACCTATGGGGATAGGGCCGGGGTAGGATGAAGACCAGGGACATCTACAACGGGAAATGGACGCTGCAATTATCGCGTAATTAAACTGTAATAGAAACAATCAGATTGTAAATGAATTTCTGTGAAAATAGACGTCGTTAACATGCATTTCGTATGAGATGGGCGGATGAAAATCTTGCTTCATTTGTTTTCGATCATGATACGCATATATAGCTCCCAGCTGGAATGGAAAAAAGGTCTGTCGTGCTGTGAGTGAACGGATTACTTAAAAGTACTATTGCAGCTACTTCACGAATATCGAACAACATCGTAGAAATTATTAAAAACACAAAGGCATTATTCACTGCATCGTTCTGCATCTTCGTAGGTTTTACAGGTACATGTGTACTAGTCTAGTATTCCTTGACGTTCTGAAAGTTCGCCGCAGCGTAGAACAGGCGTTGTGTGTTAGCTGCCTTTTACGGGTATAAGGCGGTGTTCTGTGGGTACACAAGTGTACTACGAATAAACTGTGTACTTCGAGTAAACGTACATCTCGATGTCCTGCTACATTACATCATTACAACAACATGTCACAACATTCTACAGCTACGTGACCCCACTCGACAGCTGCATCGAATTGCATGTTCATGTTATATCGACATTTTATAATAACACTACATTCAACAGCTACAACACGACCTCCTATAGCACTACATTCAACAGCTACAACCCGACCCCTATATCACTACATTCAACACCAACGATACGACCCTATATTGCACTACATTCAACAGCTACAACCCGACCCTAAATCACTACATTCAACACCTAACGATACCGACCCTCTATATTGCACTACACTCAACAGCTACAACACGACCCTCTACAGCACTGCATTCAACAGCTACAACACGACCCTCTATAGCACTACATTCAACAGCTACAACACGACCCTCTATAGCACTACATTCAACAGCTACAACACGACCCTCTATAGCACTACATTCAACAGCTACAACACAACAGACCCTCTATAGCACTACATTCAACAGCTACAACACGACCCTCTATAGCACTACATTCAACAGCTACAACACGACCCTCTATATAGCACTACATTCAACAGCTACAACACGACCCTCTATAGCACTACATTCAACAGCTACAACACGACCTCTATAGCACTACATTCAACAGCTACAACACGACCCTCTATAGCACTACATTCAACAGCTACAACACGACCCTCTATAGCACTACATTCAACAGCTACAACACGACCCTCTATAGCACTACATTCAACAGCTACAACACGACCCTCTATAGCACTACATTCAACAGCTACAACACGACCCTCTATAGCACTACATTCAACAGCTACAACACGACCTCTATTGCACTACATTCAACAGCTACAACACGACCCTCTATAGCACTACATTCAACAGCTACAACACGACCCCTAGAGCACTACATTCAACAGCCACAACACGACTCTCTACAGCGCTACAACACGATCCTCTATAGCACTACATTCAACAGCTACAACACGATCCTCTATAGCACTACATTCAACAGCTACAACACGATCCTCTATAGCACTACATTCAACAGCTACAACACGACTCTCTATAGCGCTACATTCAACAGCTACAACACGATCCTCTATAGCACTACATTCAACAGCTACAACACGACCCTCTATAGCACTACATTCAACAGCTACAACACGACCCTCTATAGCACTACATTCAACAGCTACAACACGACCCTCTATAGCACTACATTCAACAGCTACAACACGACCCCTATAGCACTACATTCAACAGCTACAACACGACCCTCCATAGCACTATAATCAACAGCTACAACACGACCCTCCATAGCACTACATTCAACAGCTCCAACACGACCCTCTATAGCACTACATTCAACAGCTACAACACGACCCTCTATTACACTTTCTAAGATGCTTCGGTGAAAGATCAAAGGCGCCGACAGTACTTTATCAGACGATAATGTGCACTTTTTGCATAACGGCACAATGTATTGGCGTCACTGCGCCATTCTAGTCTGCCCCTCGTAATCGAACACTTTTGCATTACGTCACAATGTAAGCGACGTCACGATGCAAGTCAGTTGTCATCGCTTCGTACAGCCTCCTACAGTAAACTACCCCGTTGCATCCCGTTTCTTGGTTTGCAGTTGCTTCTCGCAGATAACATCACTGGTGGATTCATTACGTTTTTGTTTTCCGACGGTTAAAATGTCTCAATTCGACTCACAAGTATTCAGCGACACGGCAACGTTCGCAATGTTTACATTCCCACAATGCAATCGTTGAATGTCGCTTGACTACTCAGCTTCATCTGGATGTACTGTACTGACTTTTGTTGGTAGTAGAAATGCGAAGTTCATATTGCCCCATATGGTTTACGTTAATCACAGATGTAATTGAAATAATTTAGAGAAGATATTTTATCCGAACGTAAACCGTCATCAAACTGTTTACCATTTGTTTTTTCTGGGAACGTTCGTCTTAACGCAGGGGGACAGACACATCAATAGAACAGCGCGCCAATTAGCCCTGTGCGAGGATTCTTAACTTTGGTAAGAATACCGTCGTTTGTTTTCTGCCTAAGATTAATTGTTATTATCCTTAGAAAAAGCATGAAATTTGGCATCTTAGAAAAGGAATACAGTTCGCTCTACCTCCATGTATAGTATAATAAAGCACATTTTCGCCCTGAACTATTATAACGTTAAAGCACTCGGACGCAAGCGTCCTCGTGCTTTAACTATACTAGTTCAGGGCTACAACACGATCCCTTATATCACACATAAAACAGCTGGTAGAGCGATCCCCTAGAGCGAAACAGCTACAACACGATAAACATTCAACAGCTACAACACGATCCTCTATAGCACTACATTCAACAGCTACAACACGACCCTCTATTGCACTACATTCAACAGCTCCAACACGACCCTCTATTGCACTACATTCAACAGCTACAACACGACCCTCTATTGCACTACATTCAACAGCTACAACACGACCCTCTATTGCACTACATTCAACAGCTACAACACGACCCTCTATTGCACTACATTCAACAGCTACAGCACGACCCTCTATAGCACTACATTCAACAGCTACAACACGACCCTCTATTGCACTACATTCAACAGCTACAACACGACCCTCTATAGCACTACATTCAACAGCTACAACACGACCCTCTATTGCACTACATTCAACAGCTACAACACGACCCTATTGCACTACATTCAACAGCTCCAACACGACCCTCTATAGCACTACATTCAACAGCTACAACACGACCCTCTATTGCACTACATTCAACAGCTACAACACGACCCTCTATATTGCACTTCATTCAACAGCTACAGCACGACCCTCTATTGCACTACATTCAACAGCTACAACACGACCCTCTATTGCACTACATTCAACAGCTACAACACGACCCTCTATAGCACTACATTCAACAGCTAGCTACAACATTGACCTCTTCATAGCACTACATTCAACAGCTACAACACGACCCTCTATTGCACTACATTCAACAGCTACAACACGACCCTCTATTGCACTACATTCAACAGCTACAACACGACCCTCTATAGCACTACATTCAACAGCTACAACACGATCCCTCTATAGCACTACATTCAACAGCTACAACACGACCCTCTATAGCACTACATTCAACAGCTACAGCAACGACCCGACTCTATAGCACTACATTCAACAGCTACAACACGACCTCTATTGCACTACATTCAACAGCTACAACACGAGCCCCTCTATTGCACTACATTCAACAGCTACAGCCCGACCCTCTATTGCACTACATTCAACAGCTACAACACGACCCTCTATTGCACTACATTCAACAGCTACAGCCCGATCCTCTATAGCACTACATTCAACAGCTACAACACGACCCTCTATTGCACTACATTCAACAGCTACAACACGACCCTCTATTGCACTACATTCAACAGCTACAACACGACCCTCTATTGCACTACATTCAACAGCTACAACACGACCCTCTATAGCACTACATTCAACAGCTACAACACGACCCTCTATAGCACTACATTCAACAGCTACAACACGGCCCTCTATAGCACTACATTCAACAGCTACAGCACGACCCTCTATAGCACTACATTCAACAGCTACAACACGACACTTTATTGCACTACATTCAACAGCTACAACACGACCCTCTATTGCACTACATTCAACAGCTACAGCCCGATCCTCTATAGCACTACATTCAACACCATGTTTGACTAACAGGATCGGATGCTCAGGCTCGGACGAACCACAAAACGCACACACGCACGCACGCATACATGCGAAAGCACCGAGAACATGAAATCACGTATATATATAGTTTGACTTTTACAGTATGAGCAAGATCTGAGAAACACAAAAGACTGAAGTTGACCACACCAGCCCAGTATAGTACAACCACGCGGCGGTGACCACGTGTTTGGATGGCCACTCTGCCCGACTACAAACCTGGTGTCGGGATCATCGTTACTGTCAATGCTAAACTGCTTTGGGCAGCTGACTCTCCCATCAATCATCACCTGGCTAATTAGTAATAACTCCGGTCACTGTGGGGTTACATAGCTACTTGCCGGAAATCTAGCCAACCTTTTAATATTCGGGAGAGTGTGTAGTATTGTTGTTGGGGTCAAAATAGTTTCCCGACCACTTCATCAAAACATATAGTATTTGTTCTGCGAGAGGAGAATTCTAACAGTTTTACTCATTTTTCCCCTCACCTCTGCCGTTTGTGCATCCATATGACAAGCTGTTTGTTTTTGATAAAATTGAATCAATTTGCCCCCTAGTGTTTCGGGGAAATATTTAATTAAGAAAATAAAACATAGGCCACTCTCCAAATGATTCGTAAATAGCACGCCATAGTATAATGATGTCCCTTTGAAGAAGGAAATCTTGCTACGCTTAATTGATTTTCGTATGACATAGAAATCTGTGGTTTGGTATCATCTGGTACGAAAAATGTTCTTATCAATGTACCTTTCTTCCCCGTATAATTATCTTAAGTCAAAGAAAAGACTATAGGTCTGGGGTTCGATCCACAAAGTGTTTACAGCAATACGCCTTTCGTAAGCTAATGATAAACGGTATAGTTACGACAGCTCGTAACATTACTAACGCTTTGTGGATCGAGTTTTACCCGCACTGAAAATATATATATGTCTTGTGGTAATAGTCATCTCTAGTAAACAGCATGAGCATGTGAAGCCCATTTCTCAACCAAGTGTCCCCGCCGTTAGTCGCCTCTTACGATGTTGCTGGAATAAGCACATTTGCTAAAAGCGGATCGTAAAACCAAATCTCTGAATATAGTCTTGTCGTAATAGCCATCTCTAGTGAAAGGAATATCTATACCAACTGCACGAAAAAAATGGAAACCCGCTACCCTCACTGTCGAATAATTGATATATAACTCAGCGTTATTATTCAAGGTCACGCAGATAATAAAACGTATCATTTTCAACTTCGTTTATCACTTCAGTTTCTTAAAAACATCTCATCAGTGTGACATAGGCATTCGCAACGTGTTCAGTAACTGCAAACCATATATCGTCAACATATTCCGACCTCCCGACACATGTTGGCATATGTTAATGTGTGATACTATTATACCCATCAAAAAGTTTAGACTCACTAGTGTAAATGTAGCCACTTACTTGTCCACTGTTCTAAACTAGCTTTTGCAAAATATTCCATACTGTTTAAAGGTACTGTTTAGTTATGAACTGGTGTATTGTAAAACATATTCGTAACATTGAAAGATTATTGTCATGAGTTCAGTAAATGATTAAAATCTGTGAAAATTGGCGAATTCTTAACAAAACTTTACACCAAAACGAATCTGTTCACATGCACGACATTTGCTCATGCCTTTCGCAATTTGAAGCATCATCCTTGTGCAATTCATCTGCATAAGGTTTTCAGTTGGTTCCCCCAAGTTGGTGGAGAAATTCATCTTCGATGTAACCACATACATATACATAACATATAGTGAGTGCTTTAAGTGAGTCTAAACTTTTGATGGGTAGTATATTATACATTTGTTTGTTTGTTGTTTTACGCCGCACTCAGCAATGCGTCAGCTATATGGCGGCGGTCTGTAAATAATCGACTTTTGGCCAGACAAACCAGTGATCAACAACATGAGCATCGATCTACGCCATTGTGCTGCGATTACATGGGTCAACCAAAGCTCGAGCCTGACCACCCGACCCCGTTAGTCACCTCTTGGGGGTACGACAAGCCGAAGACCCGGGGGCACAATGTGTGAAGCCCATTTGTGGTTACTGAACTAAACTCTGTCAGCAATTCTAACCCGGATGTTAAAGGGTCTGTGACACATGGGTTACTGAAGACTAGTTTTAACCCGGGTCATCACATTCCGTCAGTAACGACGCTGAGTATATATGCCATGCATTTCCAAGATGGTGTGGTCAACCAGTGGGCAACGTATAACCTTGTCTCGCAGTAGGCCTTTGTTTGATTCCAAACATGAGTAAAATCAGTTCGCGAATTCCATTCGCTGTCGTTATACAGATGTACTATTGCCAAACACTTTCACCGACTTTCACCATTAAAGCGCGTAAACCAGTTTTAGCATGTGTCCGCACAACAAAAACATGGAATACATGAGCACTAACGCTTGCTGCGCTGAGGTCCTCATCTTTGGTAAATGCTTCACCATGCATTGAAATCCCAACGGTCGAAAAAGACATAGTTAATAAAAATACCTCATCATGTTCTCAACAGGTTATGAAAATCGATGTCGAGGGACCGGTCATCAATAATGTATTAAATTGACAACAGAAATTAAAGTGAAGCGCATGTTTCTCGTCCAATGAGAGCTCTAGATTCGATCACGTGGACTACATTTATTGCCGACATCATTCTTCGTAAAGGTGCGTGCTGCACGTGCGTATGGCCACGAAGGCATTGCTGGAAGCGCCCGCAGGGAAAGGGAAGCTGTGGCTCGACTATTGCTAAATAAAGACAACTTTTCAACATTTATTCAGCGACAAACTGTCAAGACGGTGAGCTGGTACCTGTTCACCTTCCATCGCCTCACACGCTGCTTGGGTTATTTTCTCCCAAGTGCAGACTTGTATGTATCCCTTGACCGCGGTAATTGTGAAGCGTTTTGAGAATACCCGAGGTGCGGATTTGTAGCATTACATATAAACGGAAAAACGTAACAGTCGATAACATAAAATAAAATAAAAGTTTCTTGAAAAGTTATAAAATTAACTCTAAATAAACATGTAGCATAGCACTTTGCATTAGATCTGACGTCACGTATCGAGCGTCGCACGTGCACTTTGTGCACAATGAACTTACTTTATGCATGATTTTTGACACCTGAAGTTCACGCACTTGATATTGAAAATTGAAGAAGGGTTGGTTATTCTCAAGCTTCTGAATGCTGTGGAAAACACGTTAATTTCAGGGGCGCTGGGGTAGCCTAGTGGTTAAAGCGTTGGCTCGCAATGCCGAAGACCCGGTTTCGAATCCCCACATGGGTACAATGTGTGAAGCCCATTTCTGGTGTCCCCCGCCGTGATGTTGCTGGAATAATACTAAAAGCGGCGTAAAACCAAACTCAGTCAGGCAGTGAGTTAATTTCAATCTAAACCGTGCGTACGTCATACCATGGCTTACAGAAAATCAGCGTCTCCAAGCCG